ACATTCGCTTTTACAAGTGAGTATTCATAGCCTGATAAGCAGACAAGCGGCGGCAGTCGTTTGCTGTTGTTGTAAGGCAAAACCATATGATAAAATTGTGGCTATAGATTCAAGTGTTTGTTGATGCCTTTGTCTACCCAAAAACAACAACAATACCAACAACGGTTTCCTTTATTTGTCAACATTTTTGATTGACTTTTGTATGATGAGTCGTATGATATTGCGCAACTAATTGGCCCGACTGAACAGGCGCTAAGATATACAAGTAGAAAGTAATAACCGTTGAAACAGGAAATAGTTACATATATACTAATAAGAATTTAATTTCGTTTGCATTTATACTGACACGAAATTTATCAATAAAGTAGAAAATAAATTATTCACAGTTTGAAGTAAAAACTACACACCAAGACTTTAGAGTAAAACAAAAATGTCTTCCCGAAAACTCCCGAAAATCCTAGGTTTATAAAATCTTACCTTCTTACCCATGAAAAGCATTAAAGTCGAATAATTATAGCCTGTGATAAAAGGGTAACAGTTTCATCATGATAAGTCAGTTACGAACACCGATCAATTTTGATCATAATCTAGAAATAGTAATACAATGCAGAATGTAAAAAATGTTTACTTACTTAAAGTTAATCAAAGTTTTGCAACGATGGCACGTGGTAAGCCAATACAGAAATACGAAGTTTAGTCATCGAGTTTTACAAATCTGGGAATGCTTTTGGGGAAATAGCCAACAAATTTTAAGAAAAACGGAAATATTCAAAATAAAATCGCAAGTAGATGCCGAACTCGTATGCCTGTCAAAGGGGTAGGAAACTGCATTTTATTGAGGGGATTGTCAACGCAGACAAATATGTTAAAATATTAGTAGAAAGTTTGCTGCCATCAATACGCATTTCAGCAGGATGGAGCGTCACCTCACACTGCCACACAGACGCAGAAATGGCTGCAGTAGAGGAAATTGAGGTCCTTGATTAGCCATCAAATAGTCCAGATCTGAGCCCAATCGAAAATATATGGGAAATAATGAAAAGAAATCTAAGAAATAAGCCTCAAAGAACCATATGATAAAATGCATTCAGATATAAAAACGAAACTGCAAAATATGTCGGACTTAATTTCAAGAGAACAATGCCAATATTTTCTTAAATCTATGCCAAAACGTTATAAATGTGTTGTAAAGGACAAAGGCCATAATACTCTATAGTAATATTCAAGAATATTTGTAATTTTAATCAAATAATAAATGTGTTACGCAGCGTACGTATCAGTTACACAAAGCATTTAACTAAATTAATGTTATTGTTGTAAGTTAAGAGAATAAAAGGGTCTTTTAGAAAAAAATATAATTGCATATGTTATCTACATTAGCATTGAAAATATCGTCTGTTAAACATTGCATACGGGTCAAAAAGCATGCCTTACGAATTAATAGAGGTGTGGGCTCGTATAAAAAATTAATAACCATAAATGTAATCTCTCTGCTCAAGCTCTGCCCGCAGCTGCTGTTGTTGCTGCGTCGACTTAATTCCGTACTGCACACATACACGCACATAAACACGCATATAAACACGCATTGGCACGATTCTGATGTAAATGTATGCTGTTTAAATTGTACATACACATATGTCTCTACTTATTTGAATTCATTTAATTTTTTTAAACTAATTTATAAACATTATTTTAATTTTTTATTTGGGAGCCCACTCGAATCTAGCATTCCTTTCTTGTTTTTCATCTCCATATTTGCATCGATAGGATAGCTCTATCATATAGCTGCCTTGGAAATGATTGGTAAAAAGACTTATTTTTGTTGAATGGGTGTGGCGTGCAAAAAGAATGGGTGCAAGGTACATATGTACATAAATCGAAGTCTAGGGTTCGACTAGTTCAATTTCCGTATTCGGCTGAGATTCCAAAGTTGAGAGGGCTGTGTGTCTATTTATCGTTCTTTCGATGCTTGAATGGTGGACGGCTGCTGTATTTAAAAACTCAATTGCGGTGCAAATAAGGTGTTTTGAGCCCCCTTATTAGAAGATAATGCACAAAGGTACGCACAAAAATATGTTTAGAAGACACAGTGGCAAGGCAAACTTTGAGGCGCCTCCAAATGCTTAAGCCAAAGCGTTCCAGATTTTTGCGGCACTCTCCAAACACAAATACGAAAGCGTAAAATTCGAATGTTGCAAATGCACAAAAGGAGCAAACACAGTATAAAACACAACAACATCAGCAACAACAACAATGGGAAGCAGAGAACACAAACGTTTATTGTTCAGTTGACATAATGAACACTTTTATATTCAAATAAACGGCAGGCGGGCGCGCCCGAAAGTATGCAAAGCGAGGAGGTGGGTAAGAGGGAAAGGCACAGTAAGCGTGTGAAAGTGTTAAGGACATTTAAAATTCTTATGTGTATGTATGTGTTTATATTTAAATAATAAATGACCTACTTAGGTTAGGCATTGTTATTAGTGCCATCATCAGAGTTGGTACCATCGGCTTTGCCTGCATGTCGGCAACGCCATTGTCCCATATCCTATTTCCTTTGTGCAAACTCGCGACCTGACACGCAACAAGCCATAATGAGCGCGTCATTTAGGTAATTTGCTTTGATTGTTATGGAATTATTTTGATGGACCTGTGCGGAAGCTGTACAGCACGCTCTTTTCTTGCTTACGGGGTGGTTAAATAAGTCTTCAAAATATTTTTCCGAACATTGCCTTCTTCTGAGCCGGATCTACTGTAAGGGTCCACAATGTTGATTGCTCTTTAATCCCAAAATGCAGTTGAGTAGCCAGGTTTCATCAACGGTAATGGATCGATTTGGAATACAAAAAGATGTTTCCAAATAAAAATATAATGTTGTTTGCTTTGTAAACACTTATCGATCCACCCTCGCATATTTTCGCATGCTGCGTGCATGCTCAACTAGCACTCAGTACCAAATGGCACTGTCGTTTATACGCAAACCTACCCACATACTGTATAAAAAGCAAATAAATGAGCACTCCTTGACCGATTTGGAAAAAATTATAAACATACTCGAAGGTAGAGATTCAATTACAGTTTTCTGATTAAAAGCCTAGTTAATGCAGCTTCAGAATTGTGTAGAGTTTTCTGTACATTTTGTAACAGACATCAAGCTGAAAAAAAATTGTTAAATATAATAAATTACGAATTTTTAGGCAATCTTCGTATCGATATCTCAATGAACAGAACGAGTTATTCTAATAAGATTTATGCCTCGATTTTTCCCATGGGCGCTATAAAATAATGATGCAAAGTATCTCATCTCTTTCTTTCTGTTCCCTATACCTAACATAGAATCTTTTTGTGCCGGCAACTACGGAACATAATTTTTTTAGATTAAGTCAAATTGTTATACTCTGTACATAAAATGTACAAGAGTATATTAGGTTTGCGGAAGCTGAAAAATGTAACAGGCAGAAGGAGGCGTGGCAGACCCCACACAGTATATATATTCTTGATCAGCATGACAAGACGAGTCGATCTAGCCCTGTCTGTCTGTCTGTCCGTCCGTATGAACACCTGGGTCTCAGAGACTATAAGAGATAGAGACCAAATTTTGCAGAATTTTGTTTTATTTTTTTGATTTTCCCCCCACTTCCCCCTTATGGGGGTTTTACCGATTTTCCATTCGTATAATCGCCTATATCTCGGAGACTATAAGGAACACCAAATTTTACTCCAAGATGCCTTATGTGAATACGCAGAAAATGTCTATTTTGCGAACGCAAGGATCTCAGAAACTATAAAAGCTAGAATAACCAAAGTTGGTATCCAGATACTCCTATGTCCGAGAAAGGACGAGTTTATTTTAGTGTTTTGAATTTTCCCCCCTTCCTCCGCTACAGAATTTCAATACCGTCCACATTTCAAGAGCTAGAGAAACAAATTAAACACACTTGCTTGATACCGAGTTTTCAGTTTCTGCCAACTATATTCTACATACAAGAAAATTCGACTAAATACTAACAAATACAAATATCAAAACGGCCTGCCATTAACCCATATCGTTAGGCAATTTGCGTTCTGGCTTTTCCTGTTATCTATGTTACCCTTGAGAATCGAGTTGCAACAAAAATACAGACATCTACATATATACACGTATGTAATACATATGTACATTCAAGTAGAAATGGAAAATATGCCTATGCATATATTCGGGTAAAAACACAAAACGATTAAACGCATGTTGGAAAAAGCACATGAAAAATGTGAAAATAAAATAAGTCTGTACGTGTGTCCTTAAGCTACCTTTATTCGCATTTCTAGACAATGCCCCACAATGTGCCTTATGTCTAACAAAAGATGGGAGCACGCCAGCCACAAATACATACTCGTATGAATTACTGACTACTTCGATAACCACTAAATGAACAGAGAACAAAACAAAATACAACGCTACAGTCGAGCAAGCCCGACAGTAAAATACCCTGTACTCTCCACAAAAAAGGAAAATTTAAAATAAAATTATTGAAAAAATTTAATTAATTGATTAAATTAAATATTCGTGCATCGAAAAAAAACTCAAACTCGTACATTCTCGGTCTTAGGAGAATATGGATACTAACTTTGCTTGTTCTAGCTCTTATACTTCCTGAGATCCTTGCGCTCGTCCAGACGGACGGACAGACGGACATGGCTATATCGACTCGACTCGTCTTGTCATCCTGATCAATAATATATGTGCTTTTGGGGATCTGCTACGCCTCCTTCTGTTTGTTACATACATGCGCACAAAACTAGTATACCCGTTCACCCTTTGGTTACAGGGTATAAATATGCAAGATTCGATTATTAGTTAAAGGATGAGTCAGACATCCTCTTTTGAGGCAGCGCCCAATGCGCCGCCTGCAACTTTTTGTTTAGTGTTCAGCATTTCAAGTCAAATTTCCCAGGCACAGCTTGTTTGCTCTGTTTGCTTTGAAAATTCAATTTACAAATGAAAGATTAAAATAAACCAATACATACACAACTTATTCGATTGGTTCGGATAGTTAAACGCCCCTTCTAGCCCTTTGCTTCACCTTCAACCCGATCATAGCCAAATTCCGTATCAACGCGAAATTGTTCGAGTTAAATAAATTTAAGGTGCACAGCAAGATGAACACAAGCGTGGCTCCCAAACAAGCGCCACTCGGCTTCCACCTCAAGGCCAGGAGCGGCGAAAAGGCAAGAAAAATATCGCTAACCTTCCGCGATGAGCTGGTGCCGGCCCTCGAAAAAGCCAAGGGGAAATTGGAGGCAACGTGGAAGGTGTTGGACATCATTGTTGCTAAGCCGGAGTATCGGCGGCTGGCGGAGCCGCTGCTGGATGTGCTTTACACGGGCGGTCTGCTGGCAGGTGAAGACCGGAAGACGAAGATTGACTGTCCGAGTTCAGGTGCCACCTACTGTGTGCTGAAAGCGCGCGAGAGTCTGAACGCGTTGCGCGTCTATGAGCAGCTGTTTTTGAGGCTGATGAGGCGCCACAAGCAGGTGGAATCGGCATTTACGTCACACGCCGCTCGACTTCTCGCCGAACTCAAGACCTTTGATCCGCAGGCGCGAAGGCAACTGGCTCGCATTTTCACACTGTTCATCATTAATGGCACACTTAATGCACGCGTGCTCCTCGCACTGGGCCAGCAGCACTACATCGACGAGGGACTTACGCTCGAATTCCTTCTGGAGGTGTTCGCCACACTCAAACGAGAAAAAGGTGCGGCCTTTCTCGTGCAGACGGTGAAGCGTGCTGGCCTTGAGAACAGAATACTGAGTTTTATGCCTCCACCTATGCGCAGCGACCTACACTTCCATCAGGTGTACCAAGAAAGAGACCTTTCCGAGATCATTAAGCTGCACCAAGTGCGTACGGGCCAGGAACTGGGTCGCCAGCTGCGCCTGCGGCTGCTCGATGATTTCAACGAACAGGTTCCCCACTTTGATGTGGTGAGGGGAGTTCGAAAGTTCCAGGCCGAGAACAACATGTCCGACTCGGAGATCATCGGCATTGTGTTAAGCACGATCTTCTCGCAGGGGGAGTTGCCCGTGCGCGACCATCCGCTCACAGAGCAGGACATCCGCCACGTGCAACCATACAATGCGCTACTTAATGCGCTATGCAACACGGAAAGGACACAGATAGTTTTGCTGCTGCGTCTGCAGGAGTACTGCTACGAGAACCCGAGCTTTCTTAAGTCTTTCGAGAAGCTGGTCCAGCAATTTTTCAAGTCTGGCGTGTTGAACAGAGATGCTATTATGCGTTGGTACCAGACTGACCATTTGGATAAGGGCAAGGTGACGTTTCTCGGTCAGATGCATCGCTTTATTCAAACTCTTAAGGCCGATGCGAATGACAGCAATAAACTTAGAAGGGGCTTGATGCGGCCGAAAGTATACAGCGATGTGGCGCCGAATAACAGAAAGTAATACGATACATAGCGATCGAAATTAACAGCGCAGACATTAACCTTCTGGATGTGGGTAGCATTTGCAATAACTTATAACCTTGCTTGATCTCCTTTCCACCTACTCCTCGACAAATGCTTCCACATCCGCAAGCATACTGAATTGTGTACTAATAAATACATTGATTGTCCAAGCTAGTGACGTGAAGAAGTTGATCCGAAACATGAAGGATAATGGCGCCAAGCAACAACACAAAACAGACGCAACGGAAATCAACAAAATCATGCAGATAGCAAGTATTAACTAAACGATTGTGCGATGGCTTAATACACACCAAATATATTTGAATGCTTTCACTCCGAGAGAGACGCTTCCTATTTCTTCCAGATTTGCGTTGTCAATATTGTTGCAGAGGAGTGGCCTCTTTTTCATTATTTGTGAGTTCCTTTTGGGACACCCTATCTCTCCCTCCACAATATTCTAGAAAAGCCCGAAGAAAAGGGGGCATCATCAAAAAACAAATTGAATTAACTCATGTTGCCTAGGGACTAGGAGATTCCACACATCGCGAATTTGGTCATAATGCGCTCAGCCGTTTTCGAAATCCAGGCGTTCATTCAAACGAACGAACATGGCTAGATCTATTTATCTTGTCATGCTGATTAAGAGCATAACATAATTCGCCTATTATACCATTTGTACCATTTGGGTGCAGGGCATAATAATTAAACAAAAATACCCAAAAGGTAGAAGAACATGCTAGTTTGGTACAATTGTGTGTAGTGCGCAGAAGAAAGCATGGCAGAGTTTGAACTTTTCCGATAATCTCATACCTTTTTTGTAATTCCTGAAATTTTATATCACAATTAGAATATTTCATTCCGATAATCTCATACCTTTTTTGTAATTCCTGAAATTTTATATCACAATTAGAATATTTCATTCTGTAATACGCACGAGGGTACAAACACACATACGAGGTCTATTTAAAAGAAAAGGTGAAGGTTTTGCTCACTGTTTTCTTCGATTACAATCCGTGGTGCATCACAAGTTCTTGCCAACAGGTTGCACTAATTTTAATTAATAAGGAATACTACAAGGAAGATATGAATCGTTCGCGTATATATATTTACATACAAAGTCTGTTTAAAAGAAAAGGTGAATTTGGAATTCCTTTGGAAATCATTTATTTATTCATCAATATCCATCTTGTCCCCTTCAAAGAAATCCCTCTCAGGTATAATGCACTTATGCCACGGAACTTATGGCTCACTGCGAGTTTTTCCTATTCCCAAATCTGAATTGGTCTCGGACAGCTTTTTGCCACAATTCATGAGATAAAATCAAAAATGAAAAACGAGCTGATGGCCATACCGAAAGCCGCATTTCAGAAGTACTTTAAAGGGGACAAAATTGATATTGATGAATAAATAAATACTTTTTTAAAAAAGGCAAAGTTCATCTTTTTTTTGAACATAACATATATGTTACAAATAAACATTGTTGTAGCAATAAAAAGCAACTGCTGACTACATTTGGTGACACATTAGAATAGTGAAAAGATTCCAAGAAGTTTTATGAAAACTCTTTACATACAGTTAGGCTTTCTCGGATTTGGTGTTTCTAGTGCTCGTATACGAGGCACTCTCTGGCATTCATACAAACATGACTATGTCGGGTCATCTCTGGAACTCCTCCTTCTACTTGTATGTGTTGCATACGTATATTGACGCTAAACTAGTACAGGACGTTGTATGTAGATAAGCACATCCACAACACTGTGCTGTCGAAAAACTAAGTGTGCAAACATAATTTCACAGAAATGCATTATAAAGTTTTCCATTTCGACGAGAAGATAGAAAGGTAGGAGACAGTTTTAAATGCAGAATTACTTGTATTTGGCCGTGTATGCTGTCAGTATTATTTAGTATATTCCAATCAAATTGACCCGCACACTTTTCTGACCTTTCGCTTGGCCCGTTTGACGGAATTTGCTTTTACAGCAGTTTAATTAAGTTAGTGGGCGGATATGATTAAATTTGACATGAGTGCTCTTTCGATTCAATTAAATTGTGGCGTCGGATACTAAAATAAAAATAGTTTTAATGCATACTATACGCCCCGACGATGCAAGAGCATATGTGTGTGTGTGTGTGTGTGTATCTGTGTGTGTGGCACTTACTGTGTGCACTTTAATTAGGCTGCGTGACAGCGATATGGACATTCAAAGTGTTTATCAGTTCGGGCGGTTGCAGTAACTGTGTCTTGCATGCCGCACGTGCCTAAGCCGCAGCGAGCCCCAAGCTCCCAGCCAATGAGCAACCGGTTGGACAACAAGAGAAACAGGTCACAGTTAAATCATATTTAATCACATTACGTGCCCCAGCAACGCAAGCCGAAAAAAATATATGTATAAATAAAACTGAAGCTGGGAAAAATCATTCTTTCCCACTTCTTGCCATTCGAAAGCTCAAGCTGGGCCTTGGCATTGGCCTTGCCAAGAGCGGCCTGCAAGGACTCAAAGTCCCACAGACGCACTATTCGCAAAGATAACAGCAAATAATTGTGCAGCAAAGCTCACCCATACATACACAATTATCAAATACATAGCCAGATATACAAGTATACTCGTACATGGGTACGGGCATGGGCGTAGCCAAGATTCAATCTATTTAATCCAGGGGGCACAATTTGTTGGCCGAATTTTTACACTCAAAGTATTTACACTAGACTAAAAACACATTAGAAATTTGGAAAAATAAAATTACAAATAATGAAAATGGGTTCACAGATTTTGAATGCAATAGAAATAAAAAAAACACTTGCCAAAAAATAAGAAGATTTGTGATGATGGAACTAATATAAAGTTGGTCCTGTGAGAGATCGTGAGTGTGAAATTGTAAAAGTTGTTTTAAAAAAAAACATACTCAATACCAATGTACAATTGTTAAGGGAAATATAAAATGTAAGATCTGCAGGCCATAACCTTAGCCGGCCCTTTGCAGAATGTTTAAATATAAACATGCACAATACCAAGGTATTGTTTTTATGTGAAAATGTAAAATGTAATTGTTAGGTGAATGCTGTTCCCTTGTTATAATCAGAAACAAATAGATAAAACGTCACCTGCTCAAAAGTTCATATTTTAAATAATAAATAAATGATCAATTTTTGTATATATACATACTATACAACTATTGAAATCTAGATGACCAAAAACGGCGGTGAAAACAATAAAGGGGCGTGGCAAACGCTGGAGAAAAACTTAATGTTTTTCAAAAATATGTAACTTTTCTCTTGGGAGCTGCTCTCAGTTTGAAAACCAATTTATATTATCAAGCCTAGTTGATTTTGTAAAAGAATTCACATGTCCCTCAGTTGAATAGAAAATTGTTGCAAGCTCACATGAAAAGGAAGCCGTAGCGACGCATATTCTGAATTCGTATTTAGTTTTACTAATAATTTTATTAGTATTACTAAAATGATTAGTTACCTAAAATTTAATTGCAAAAAATGTATAAGTAATTTTTGGGTAAAATCGAAATCACCTTTAAGAGACACAACATTCAATACACAACATTCTAAATATAGTTATATTGATTAATTGCCTCAGGTTTCGATTAAATCAGGGTTTGAACTTCAGAGTTTGGAAAGTGGGAATGCCTTGGTTATTTGCAATTATATTGGAACCGAGAAGTTGCCCAAAATCAACCTTAGCACCAATTAAAGAGCTAGTTAGGTGTTATACTTGTAAGTTAAGTTAACTTGTGTTGATAACACAATAGAAGTTTGTGTTCATGCCCATATACTTGTATATGAATGTGTATATACACTCTCAACTTTATATCTTCACAGCGACCTAGTCGATCAATTAAACGTTCCCCCTCGCTACGGCCATGCTTACGGGTATATACAAGTATAGTATATGGCGGTATATTAAATTCCCGCAACAACTTGTAGCTCACTCCTGCAGTGGAAGGAGCAACACCAACAAAATCAAGTACATTAGTGCTCCTACCATTGAGTGAACAAATAAATGACGCACCTGCCCGTGACATTAGTCGCCCCTCCCCCTCCCCCCCGCTCCCCCCACACAACGGCGGGCGACAGCAAGCTGCGGGCAATGGACATCAAGTTGCGCTCAATGTGCTTGATGGACTGGCAGACTGCAGGAAGGCAGATTGCAGGTCGGTCCCACCTATCTCCTCTGACAAACTGCACTTATGTACAAGTACATTAATTTAATGCATCATATGTTTGCCATGTTCGTCTCTTCATTTAAGAGCACTACTGATGCTCCCATTGCCGATATCGGACCATGCTGCTCTCAACCTTTGTAGATTCGCAAAAGTACAGAGTACAGCATACGTAGAGAAATACATAAATTTTTATTATTTCTATCCCCTTAAGTGTGAATTGAAGAAGAATATTGATTTTGGTGTGCAAGTGTGTAACACCCATAAGGAACAAGAATGGAACGCTAGAGTCAGGCGGCCCTAAGTCACAAAAAAAAAAAAAAACACGAACATGCAAAATATTTTAAATTTAATGTTCCAAATCTAATTTATTAATTAATTGATTAACTTCATTATGCCAGACATGTTCATGTAATGGATGCTTTCCATCAACTGACATCGGGATTGCGCCATATCTGTCCATTTGTGTATGTGTGTGTGTATGTGTGCGTGTATGTGTGTGTGCGTATGCACGCGTGTGAGCAGAGTAGAGCAAAAGCAGCAACAACAACTGCGGTCAGAGCTTGGACAGAGATTACATGTACATATGGCTTAAACACGAAATGCTGACACATAAACACTAATTGGAAGTGATTGCTCATTGAATTTGGGTAACAAATGCAAGAATTACGCGATTTATGGAAAATCACTAAAAGCGGGAGAAAAAAGAACAGAAACGTGATCTGCCTTGGGCTTAGGGGAACCTGAATACCAAGTTTGGTTATTCTAGCTCTTGTACTTTCTTAGATCTTTTCTTTCATACAGACGGACAGGCACACGGACAGACAGTAGGACATCGCTGAATCGACTCATCTTGTCATCCTTTACAAGAATATATATGTATGTGTATATACTTTGAAGGGTCTCCGACAAATTTGGGTAAAAAATTGCAGGCATTACGAGAGTTATGGAAAATCACTACAAGAGGGAGAAAAAAGACAGGACAGACAGTAGGACATCGCTGAATCGACTCATCTTGTCATCCTTTACAAGAATATATACATACGTCTCCGACGTCGTTTCTGTGTGTCACATACATCCGCACTAAACTAGCTTACCCTTTGGGTATAGGGAATACAAATTTGAACACATGTCTTACACATAGTAGTATTTAATCGCAATGTCCGTA